AAAAACCAAAAAAAAAAAAAAAAAAAAAAAAAAAAAACTTGCAAATTAAAATTCGCTTACAAACTAGCGGGTTCCCTCGTGGGATTTTCATACATCCTTAGTTTTGATTGCTCTCTTTCTTTATTTCCCTTCCACCATCAGTATTCTCCCTTCTGCTTTCATAGCATGTGTATTTTATCAACCTCCCCACTTCGCTCTTGAAAGGCTCTTGTCCTTCTCTTGTGGGCCCCTTTCTGCTTTCCTGGCCTCTGTATTCCCACATAAACACACATATATTAAATATTAGAAGCTGGAGGCTGTATATGAGAGAACACGAGATGCTTGTCTTTCTGAGTCACGGTTACTGCCTTTCTTTTCTCTCTCTCCCTCACTCCCTTCTTTCTTTTCTTTCCCTCCCTCCCTCCCTTCCTTTTGACAAGGTCTCTCTACATGTATAGCCCTGGCTGTCCTGGAACTCACTACGTATACCAGGCTGTCCTTGAATTTACAGAGGTCCATCTACCTGCCTCTGCCTCCTGAATGCTGGGCTTAAAGGTGTTCACCAGCACTCTTGGCTCTCAAACTTCTTAAATATATTCCAGTACCACCCATTTTCCTGCGAATTTCATTGTTTATGGCTAATAAAATTCCATTGTGTATAGGTAACACATTTTCATGTTGATGGGTTTGTAGGTTGACTCCATTTCCTAGCTGTGTTGACTAGAGCAGCAGTCAACATGGATGTGCAGGTATCTTTATGGTAGGTTGCAGAGTGCTTTCTTTGGTATATGCCCAGAAGTGGAATAGCTGAATCTTAATGGTAGTTCTTTTTTTAGTGTTTTTTTTTTTAAAGATTTATTTATTTAATGTGTATACAGCATGTATGACTGCAGGCCAGAAGAGGGCACCAGATCTCGTTATAGATGGTTGTGAGCCACCATGTGGTTGCTGGGAATTGAACTCAGGACCTCTGGAAGAGCAGTCGGTGCTCTTAACCTCAGAGCCATCTCTCCAGCCCTGTTTTTAGTGTTTTAATAAACCTGCCCACTGATTTCCATAACTTCATCAGTTTACACTCCCATCAACTGAATAAAGGTTCCAATTTCCCCATATCCTTGTTAACATTGGTTTTCTTTCTTTCTTTCTTTTTTTGTTTTGTTTTGTTTTTTCAAGACAGTGTTTATTTGTGTAGTTTTGGTGCCTGTTCTGGATCTCGCTCTGTAGACCAGGCTGGCCTTGAACTCACAGAGATCCACCTGCTTCTGCCTCCTGAGTGCTGGGATTGAGTGAGGCATGTACCACCACTGCTTGGCCACAAAGTAGTTTTAATCTACATTTGTTTTCTTGTTTATTTTTCCTTTTAATTTTTTTTAGGTTTTGTGTGTTGTTGGCATTAATCCTCTGGCACATGTGTAGCTAGCAAAGATTTTCTCACAACATTCTGTAGGCTGCTTCTCCATTTTGCTTTTGCGGTACAGAAGCTTTTTAGTTTCATGAGCCGCCATTGCTCAACCATTGACTGTATTTTCTGAGCAACTAGTGTCCTATTCAGAAAGGCCTGACCTCTGGCAAGGTTTTGAAGTTTTTTCCTGTAGGTGGCTTTTTTTTTGGTCTTTTTTTGTTTGTTTGTTTGTTTTGAGACTGGGTTTTCTCTGTGGCCTTGGCTGTCCAGGAACTGGCTCTGTAGACTAGGTTGGCCTTAAACTTGATCGATCTGCCTGCCTCTGCTTTCTGAGTGTTGGGATTAAAGGCATGCACCACCACTGCCGAGCTTGTTTTAGGTTTTCTGTTGAGATTCTTAGTTCATTTGGAGTTGAGTTTTCTGCAGGATGAGAGATAAGGATCTAGTTTCATTCTTCTACACGTAGGTACCCAGTTTTTCCAGTGCCATTTGTTGAAGACTTGTTTTGTAGTGTTAAGAACTGAACTAATGACTTTCCTGTCACTGTCTACGCTCCAAACCTTTCTTTTCTTTTCATTTCCTTTTTTTTCTGGTGATAGGAATTTAGCCCAAGGCCTTGTACACACTAGTCAAACCATCTACCTTTAAGCTATGCCACCCCACCTTTTAAAGCCTATGCTCTTTTTAAAGTTTAGATTTATTTATTTTATGTATATGAGCATTTTGTCTGTATGTATGCATGTATGTGCCTGATGCCCATGGAGGTCAGAAGAGGGCATTGGATCCCCTGGAACTGAAGTTTAGATGGTTGTGACCCACCATGTGGGTGCTGGAAATCAAACCTGGGTCCTCTGGAAGAGCAACAAGTGCTTTTAACCACAGATAATCTCTCCAGCCCCAAAGCCTATGTTCTTAAATATGACAACTCATTGCCTCTTATGGGTGTCAGTAGATGGAGAATGCTCTTGTTAACATCTGAACTGTGGGGCAACTTAAATATATCCCGTTAGATATTTGAAAATTTTCTCCCAAACTCAAATAATGCCATCCTGACAAAATCTGAGGTTGATGGCTGAAGGTAACTTCATAGCAGATCAAAAGATTATGCCAAGTTCATTCACATGTTCTGTGACACTTACGAACAGTGATCAGCTAGACATGGTGGCATTGGCTTCTAGTCTCACCCACTCAAGAGGTTAAGGCAGGAGAATCAAAAGTTCAAGGCCTACCTGAGCCACATGGTGAGTTCAAGGCCAGCCTAGGCAACTTAGTTAGACACTGTCTCAAAAATACAAAGTAAGAAGCAGGCTGATGATACAGCTTAGTGGCGGGGTCGTGCCTAGCGTAGACTGGGCTCAGTGTGCAGGGCTGTTAGAAAAGACAGAAAAAGGAAAGATGCTTATGGAGCAGCAGCTAGATACCTTGTTGTTTTGTGTTGCTGTGGTAAACATCATGACCAAGAGCAGCTTGGGGAGGAAAAGGTTTATTTCAGCTTATAGCTTCTTGTCCATCGCTGAGGGGATTCAGGGCAGGAACTCAAGGAAGGAACCTGGAGGCAGGAACTGAAGCAGGGGCCTGCCCATGGCTTGTGAGCCTGCTTTCTTTTACAACCCAGTACCACCCACCCAGGGGTGGCACCACCCGCAGTGGACTGGGCCCTCCCACATCAATCATTCATGAAGCAAATGCCCCACAGGGTTGCCTGCGGGCGAGTCCGATGGAGGCATTTTCTCTGTTGAGATTCCTCTTCTTAGATGACCCTACCTGTGTCAAGTTGATGGCAAAAACTAATGAGCAGTTAGTAAACAGACAGAAGGAAAGTCCTGGGACGGAGGAAGAGGGGTTCCCTCTCAGACAGGCACTGACAGATACAGGCCCTTCCCCTGTGCTCTGAGAGTCACGTTTCTTCGCTCTAGACATTGTCTCAGAGTTGTCCTCGGAGTTGTTTGGACGATGCCTTTCTGGTGCTCTCCATCTGCATTGCCTCCCCCATTTCAGTTCCATGAGATCCTTAAATGCATTGTGACAGCGATGACACGGAAAAGCTTTTGCCAGCTACTGGGTACGGTGCTTAGAGCTTTACAGACGTCATCTCTCTTTAATCTGTAGTGGAGTACTTTTTTTTTTAATGTAATATGGGGCATTGGATTTAGGGCCTTGTACCAGCTAGGCAAGTGCTGTATCATTGATCTACAACCCCAGCAGTACATTTTATTTGTATTCATTATCTTTACTTAGCTCTTATGGTTACTATATGAGGTAGGTATCATTATGATTTTCTCTGTTTTACAGATAAAAGAAAAGGAATGTCAGAGGCATGACTAACCTGCTAGAAGCCATCTCGGTAGTGAGTGTTTGAGCCCGCAGACAGCCCTAGCCCATTCTGTCATTCTGCACTCCTTCCCAACAGCCCAAAGCTTTCACTTGTCCCTGCTGTCTGGCTCTACCCATTGCCTTCTTCCCTTTGGTGCCTCAGACAGCCTGGCTCTGTCAGTTCCTGCATCACAGACCCTTCCTTTGGCATCTATAGCTCCATGGGTGCTGCTTCTCCTTCCTTTTTATTCTTTTCCTTTTTTATCTTTCTGTCTCTCCTTCTTTTCCCCGCGTCTCCCCTCCTCTTCCTTTCTTTTATCCGTTCCTTTCCTTCTCTGTCAGGATCTGATTATACAGCCCTGGCTCTCTAGAACTCACTCACTCTCTAGCCCAAGCTGCCTTGCCCCTGCCTCCTGAGCGCTCTGGTTACAGGTGCCGCCACCTGGCCTTCCTGGTCCGGTCCCTCTTGCTCAGCAGCATCTCTTCTTGCTCTCTTCTGTATGACGTCACTGTCCTTTGGTTCTTCTCTGGATTCAAAGTTCTTGTTGTATCCGATGATGTATGCTTAAAGACCTGCTCAGAGAGACCTTTACTTCTTTGTCAAAGACCTGTCTGACCTAAGAAGCCTTCCTTGGGCATGCCTCAGGAACCAAGTTTAGCATATGACTCACTAACACTTCTCCTGGGTCTTCATTTGATCTTCTCAATTAGATTGTAGCCTTGTAACCCTTTCAGTTCTGCTGTGCCATGTTGCCTTGTATATAGTAAACGCTTGCTAAACATTGGTGGCTTGATTGGCTGTTGGGTGGGAAGGTAGGATAGGGAAGGGATTGGCTGTAGAAATGTATCCCAGGGAACGTAATCTTTATTTTCTTCATCTCTTTATTTTGGGAGCTGGTTGGTTGGTTGGTTATGTATTTATATATTTTTTTAGTTATTTATATTTGTGGTCTTAAATATTGAACTAAGGGCCTTGCACATTCTAGGAAGGCATTCTACCACTGAGGTATGGCCCTAACCTTATTTTGAGACAAGATCTCATTATATAGACCCAGATGACCTGAAAATTGCTATATAGATCAGGCTGGCTGCAAACTCACAGAGATCTTCCTGTCGCTGTCTCCCAAGTGCTAGAATTCAAGGTGTACACCACCACCCCCAACTTTTTTTTACACACACCCCCCCCCTTTTTGAGACAGAGTCTCATGTAGCCTAGGCTGGTCTCAAATGTAATTTACAGCTAACGATGATCTTGAACTTCTGTTATTCCTGCTTCTACTCTCTGAATGCTGAGAATTAAACCCAGGGCTTTGTGCATGCTAGTCTAGCACTGTGCCAACTGAACTACATCCCCAGCTCCTTATTATTATTTTTTAAATTTTGAGACAGGATCTCATTAAGTTAGCCAGGCTAACCTTGAACTCACTGCCTAGTCTGGATGGGCCTTGGACTTATGATCTTCCTGCCTTCGCCTCCTGAATTGATGGGATTATAGGCCTATAGCATCGTGTCTGGCTTAAAACTCTGTCTTGCATGCCCTAAGTTGTGTTCAAGAGGTATATTTCACTGCATATACTGTGCTAGTAGTGTGCTTGGTGTTGGGGGTTCCATAAGTATTTGTAAATGAACAAAGGGCCTTAAGAATTGTGCCTCTGCATCCACCTTCCAGTGGGTGAATTTCAGTGTGTGTCTTTGATTGGCAGGCATCAAGAGAAGAGTCCTGATGCACAACCCAAGACTATTCCTTTCCAGGGTGGGTTTCTTCTCCAAATCAGGACTTCTTCCTTGGTATACCACAAACCCACCAGATTTGTCACAGTCCTTTTGGGGCAGAGCACATAAGGGAGATTTCACCAGTGTGACAGTCAGGAAGCATCCAAGCCGACAACAGTATCAGAAGAAACAAAGGCACTTTAGCTCACTAGAGGACTCCTGGCAGGAGAGGTAAGACTGAAGCTGATGCCATTTGTTTTCAGCAAGTCAGAATCTACGGGGCCACTGAAATTCTGTACTGCTAATATATTGACTAAAATAGCATTGTGACAGTTCGTGAGGGTACTTGAAGGAGTGTGAGCAGGGCAATCTTGAGGCCTCGTGAAGGATAGTAATACAACTATCTACTTTGGGATTGTAGGCAGCGTTCTTGTCATAGAGTGCATCTTTGTCAGAAAGGAGATCTTAAATTAGGAATTTGCTTCGAAAGAAGGTCCATGGCGCTAAGCATGGTGGGACACACTTGAAACTGCAGCCATCAGGAGGTGGAGGCAGGAAGAGCCAGAGTCACCCTCAGCTACACAGCAAGTTTGAGGCTAGCCTGGGATACATGAAAGCCTGTCTCCAAAACCGAAGTAAAAATGAAAATAAATTAAAACAATGTAAAAACTAAGCAAATAAAAATCAAAATACTATTCAGGGCTTGGTGGTCCGTGCCTTTTATGTCAGTGCTTGGGAGGCAGAAGCAGTGGGTGAGTTCAAGGCCAGCCTGGTTTACATCTAGTTATAGACCAGCCAGGGCTACATAGTAAGACCCTGTTTCAGAGATGGGGGGGGGAGTAAGGAGAGAGAAGAAAAATTACTACATGGATTGGGCATGAATAGTCCTGTTACAGCCAAACAAGCAGAAATAGACTTCATTTTATGCAACAAATGTGTTTTTGAAATCAAATTATGTTTTAAAAGCATTAAGGAGGTTAACCTTTTTGAGGCTCCTAGAAGTAGAGCTTTTTGTAATATGACTAATTACCGCCTGATAAATCTGGATTTTTCTTATATTAAATTTGCCCATCTGTTCTGCTTTGTTAAGTAGTAGGCATCACCAAAGTGGGCTCTTCTCCCAGACTCTCATCTCCCTAAGCTTCTGAATTTAAGTAAAACATCAGAGAGATTGGTGGCAGGAAGTACTTATGCGTAATAGGTGCTCAGTACATATTTCGATCATTAACGGTGTCTGAATGTCTGAATGATTTTATTCAAGGCTGGCTGATGTTGTGACTCCACTCTGGAGGCTGAGCTATGAAGAGCAGCTCAAGGTAGGTGTCTAGCTTGCGTCTTCTCCCCGTACTCCTGCCGCAGAATAGAACTAGGCTTATGGAAAACCTGATTGGAGAGTTCAGTCCAGTTGCCCCACAGGTCTTTTTGTTTTGTTTTGTTTTTGAAGCAAAGTGTCATGTAGTTTAGGCTTGTCTCCATCTCACTATATAACTAAGGATGACCTGTAACCTTTAGATCCTCCTGCCTCCTGGATTACAGGAGTACACCATCACACTTACTGTATACAGTTCCTGGGCTTAAACCCAGGGTTTCATGAATCCCACGCAATCACTGTGTCTAGGAAACCACGTTCCCAGCCCACCCTGCAGGTCTTTAGATTTGGTTTGCTAATGACTCTGACGATTGAACGTTAGGCTAGTTATAGCTTCTAAACTCTAGGCCCGTATATCCAATTGCTGATGTTCTTTTTTTTGTCATCCTTGTGTGTATGGGTAATAATAGAGTCAAATTTCCCAACACAGGAGCCAGCAGCCACATATGTCTATTTAAATTTAAGTGTAGTCAATTTTGCCATAATGCTTGCTTTGAAAACAAATTTGTTCCAATGGATTGATGTATTAGAGAACAATTTGAGCATAATGCAGATTTCCTGTTTGCCAGGAGCAATTTTGTTCACTAGAAGTGCTAGATGAAAGAAGGAAATTGCACCCAGTTGAACTGGGCTGTGTAAGAATAAGATAAAATGTATATGTGTATGTGTCAGCCACCCACTGGTTCCCTCAGTTCTCTGAGGTTGTTATGGACCATACCTGTTCCATAATGGTGATCAAATACTCTGCCCAGTGTACTTTCAGTTCCTCATACTATTCCCAAAGTGGTGACCCTTTTGGCACCTGCTTCTACAAACAAATCATGGGTCTTTGAGGGAAAATTCTAGGCTTATTGTCATAGTCTTCTTTCTTTCTTCTCACAAAATTTTTAGATTCATTTATTATTTTATATGTAGGAGTATTTTGCCTTACGTGTATGTGTCCATCCACCATGTTCATGCTTGGTGCCTTCAGAGGTCAGATCTCCTGGGACTGGAGTTACGGACAGTTGTTGGCCACCATTTAGGTTCTGGGAATCGAACCTGGGTCCTCTGCAGAAACCACAAGTGCTCCTAACTGATGAGACAACTCTCCAGCCCCATATTCTTATTTTGTTTTAGTCATTTGACATGCATAAAGTGGTGCAGCTCTTGTCACATCCTGTATTGGAAAGTAAAAGAGCGTTCGTACATGTGCGCGCGCACACACACACACACACACACACGCACACTCTTACATACACTCAGCTATAAGAATGACAATATAAAAAGCTTAGCATGGTGGTACACACCTTTAATCCCAGCACTTGGCAGGCAGAGATAAGTGGCTCTTGAGTTGGAGGTAAGCCTAGTCTACATAATGGGTTCCAGGCCAGCCAGGGCTACATGAGCAGATTCTGTCTTAAGAAAAGAAAGAGCAGGTGGCTGGAGAGATGACTCAGTGCTTAAGAGCACACAGGCCCCCAGGTTGAATCCCTAGCTCCCACATGGCAGCACACAACTGTATATAACTGCAGTTCCAGGGAATCTGATACCTTCTGAACTCCATGGGCAACACACACACACACACACACACACACACACACACACACACACACACACACACAGTGCATAGACATACATGTAGGCAAAAATCCAGACACAATAAAATAAAAACAAGTAAATTTAAAAAATCTGAAAGAACTAAAAAGAAAGAATGACAGGAAAAAAACTAGAAAGGGGCCCAGGCCCAGACGACAAACAATCCAAACACCATGGGTACTCCCTGGGGATCTGGAGAAGTCAGGTGATGGCTGCGACCAGCGGAAATGAGAACACAAGGGCTGCAAGGTCAGGTACGGAGGACAGGACCAGCAGGAACAGAACATACAGTGACCTTCAAGAAAATTGAATTCCAAGCGTTTGGTGCAGAGCTTGAGGACAAGGTTGAGCAGGGATGCTCTGTGAAGGGCTGCCATTAGAACACTGTACTAGAAGCAAATCCTTCCCTCTGCTTTGTTCTCTGAAAGCTGCTTTCCTGTGTGCACTGCCTGATGCATTTTAGGATGTTGTGTGCCTAACCTTCTTTCTCCCGTGAGTCCTTCCGTTGTCGTTGTCGTCTCAGGAGGCCCTTTTCAAGTGCTCTAGGCACACATGACTAGTGGCTCCTGTGTGTGGAGAATGTAGCACAGAGAGAACATTTCCATTACAGGACGTTCTACTGGGCAGCACTGACATATACTTTAAGTGTTTAATCTTAAAGGTCAGATGAAAAGATGAGCTCACACAGAACTCCCTCTTGACCTTTCCTTAGCATCTTATTAAGTCTTTGCCTGTGCTGGATTTCCTGCGTCTCTTATCTGCTCAGTGCATGACCCATGAATCTTGGAGAGAGCCTCTTTTGTCTTCTTTTCTATCCTTGGCAGTGAAAATACAAAATTCGTTGCTGCATTGCTTATATTCCTTCTGTTGCAGGTGAAATTTGAAGCTCAGAAGAAAATTATACAGAGACTAGAGTCGTCCCTACGAGTGCTCCATGGAGTCAGTGGGAGAGTGGCCGCACCCCATTCTGAGGGCCTGCACTGTCACCTCCATCCTATTATACCCTCTGTAAGTCCCCACCTCCCTAGTTCTTACCCACTGTGGTCCTGGAATGGCTAATGATATCTACAGTGTTCACTGAGTACTTGCTGGGGCCGGGTGATTATCCTGCATCATTTTCTCATTCTTCTGTTTACAATGGCCCTGAGGGATAGGCACTGTCATTTTGTAAATGAAGCTATCAGAGAATACAGGGACTGGGCAATTTACCTAGTGCACACATCGAGAAAGTGTCAGAGCTAATGTTTACATATTCTGGACTGTCTGATACAGAGCTCACTTTATCAGCCACTACCATACTGCCTCCTTAGGCAGACTCCAGGCTTTAAAAACCTGCCTAACAGTGCTTCCAAAAGAGCAGAATTTCATCTGTGGCAGAAGTTGGCATACCATGTCCCTTAGACCAAATCTGTGTTTTTGTGTTATAGCCCAACCCTCCTGTTTGTGTCTGCGGCTGCTTTCAGGGCTCCCGTGTCACCATCGAGTAGTTATGACAGGTGCTATATGTCCTGCAAAGCTTAAACTATTCCAGCTCTTGACAGGTCAGCTTTGCTAGCTCCTGCTTTATGGCAGGATTGGAATTTCTTTTTCTTTTTCAGAGTAGCAAGGAAACTTTATTCAAAAGCAGATCGCCAGCACAGATCAGAAATATGCTGTCAAGAGTGTTTGGATCATTTCAGCCACAGACTTTGGCATGTACCATGCCTTCCACGTCAGCATCATTGGTCCCCATTCAGAGAACATGGCTGCATTCTCTTTCTTGTTATCTCTTTGCTTTTGTGTGATCTCGTGCTCTCCTTTCTTTGCTTCTGTCCTCTCCAGCCCATCATCAATGGCTACCGAAATAAGTCCACCTTCTCTGTGAACCGGAGCCCAGACGGCAACCCAAAGACTGTGGGGTACTACCTAGGAACGTGGAAAGGTCAGTTGAAAGCAAAACAAAACAGACAAACACACAAAACAGTGATGGCGAAGGGTGAGGAGGACACAGATAACAGTGTCAACAGGAGTGGAACACACAAAGACTTTAAAGAAAGCTGACTTTGATACAGCTCCTGGTGGCAAGGTTGATCTGGGTTAATTTCTGATGGTTACAACAGTGAGAGAGATCACTGCCCTTGCCTATTCTTCCTCTAAATGCAATTTGCCAGATAACCCAGTGAGGGCTTAGAGTGAATGTTTCCGTTATCACTGCTGCCACCTCATCATTGACATTGGAATCCTTGTTTCTGCTCCTGTCCATATTGGGAGCAGTGCCCTCCTTGGTTGGGAGTCACTATCAATCCCCATCCTCATAGACCTAAAGACTAGAGCTTTCTGTGCTCAATCCATCTTAAAAGAATTGGAAGGGAAAGTGGGGTACACGTGACAGAAATCACAATGGCATTTTCTGAAACTCAGTTCCTGCATCCATTCCCAGATTCCATTCCTGAGCTTTTTATTTGCTGATTTTCAATAACTTGACTCGAAACACCATCGTTTGATATTAGTCACACTCTTTAATATCCATATGCCTTGAACTACAGTTCATTAGGGCAAGCAATGCATTTGGCTTTTCCCTTCATGTGCTGAATTAAATGACTTCATGACGTCAGTGTTCGATTATTCACTGTAGAAAAACAAAACCCATTACATTTTATTTCCTCTTTAAATCTGAACAGAAAGCAGATATCGTCACATAGCACACTCATGGTATGAGAGGAAGTGTTTAGGACCAGCTCAATTCAGAACTAGCTGATGAATGGCTAAACCAGGGAACAATTAGGTTTTCTCTGTTAAAAAAATAGCTAAGTACTTGAATTAGGCCTTTTGCTTCTTTGTATTAATGTATGCCTCCAAAGGAGGAACTTGCAGCTGCTGGGTTCGGATGAAAACTGTGTAAACAAATCATTTTTCTTCACGTAGATGGGAATATTGTCTGTGTACCGTGTAGCCATCTGAAAAACATCCCGGAAAAACACAGTCAAGTTGCTCAGGTAAAAATGAACAAGGGTGAGTGGAAGATAACCCAGGGCACTGTAGTCTCTGGCTGCACTGTCCCTGACATTTGAATATTGGTGCCTGCTGTGATTATTGCTGGAGGGAACGAGGGGCTGTGTGCTGAAAGCCTACCTTTTCATGTGGGCAGAAGATTGTCCGGGTTTTGTTCCGGGGAAGGTAGAGAGTGGGAGGCAGAACTGCTGTTGTTATTGGAAATGTCAAGGGGTACAAGGACGTTAGTAGCAGGGAATTAGCAGGAAAGAGGTACTGCTGAGACCACTGTGTTGAGTCAGGTGTTCGAAATATTTGAAAGGTTAATGCTTTCAGCAGAACAAAGAAATACCATGAGAGTTGTAGGCATGGCAATAAGGCAGCTACCGTGGGACTGAGCTGTGACTCAGTGGTAGACTGCTTGATGAAGACCTGCATGGATGAAGACCTGGCTTTGAATCCCGGCACCATAAAAACAAAACAAAACAAACCAAAAACCAAAAACCAAAAACCAAAACAAATTTCTCATGTGATTGACCCCTGAGACATTTTTGAGTCCATCTGTTTTATGAGTCCACTACTGGGTGCCTACTGTGTTTCAGGTAGTGTACCTGGAACATGGCTGCAGTGGTGACTCATTTAAATGATGCCTGTGCTCATGGATAGGAACAACCAAAGCCTTTCTGAGGCTTGAACTAGACTCCCTAATGACTCGCTTCCTCCTCTGCATTCTTACCAGTACCCACCGTTTTCATGATTCGTGCTTCTGACATTGGGGTGCTGCTTTTTCATGGGGCACATGATAACGCCCTATCTAGGACACAGCTGTTTTGGTAGACTCATTTTCCAGAATCCCCATACCCGTCTGAATCACCCTCTTGTCCTATTTTTGTGGGGGATTTTTCTATTTTATTACATTTATTTATGTGCATGGTGTGTGTGTGTGTGTGTGTGTGTGTGTGTGTGTGTGTGTGTGTGTGTGTACATGTATACTGCGGTATACTTGGGGAGGTCAGAGGACAAGAGTCTCAGGCATCAAACTCAGGTGGTCAATGTTGGTGGCAAGCACTCTTTCAGTGAGCCATGTCACTGGCCTCTTATTAGTGACTATTTGAAACTTTTACCTTTCTTTGTTGTTTTTTTTTTTTAACTGATTCACCTTTCCCTTTGGTTTTGGAAGATTAACGTAAAAAGCTCTCAGAAGCAAATTCCGTTGGCTGTTTGTCCATCTGCAAATGTCACTGAAGTCTGACCATTCTTCTGTCTAAGTGGAAGAAGTCGTTGTTTCCCTTTGCCCCATCAAAGCTTAGGCTCCTCTTTGTTTGGACTCGATCCCTGCTTCTTAGATCCCCTGTCCTTCCTTACACACCCCTTCTCCTGTTTCTTTGCCCACCCCCACCTCACAGCTCTTTTTTCTTCATAGTTTGATTAGTATTTCCCACCTTTAAGAAATCCTAATAGGCTGGGCGGTGGTGGCGCACGCTTTTAATCCCAGCACTCGGGAGGCAGAGGCAGGCAGATCTCTGTGAGTTCGAGGCCAGCCTGGTCTACAGAGTGAGTTCCAGGATAGGCTCCAAGCTACACAAAGAAACCCTGTCTCAAACCCCCCCCCCACAAAAAAAAGAAACCCTAATAGTTCTTACTTTTGTGTCAGACACTCGACTGAAGTTAATCTTGTCCAAGCCACCAGTGACCTTGGTTTTGTCAAAGCCCATAGAAGCTTTCTGCCCCTAGCTTACTTATTTTCTCTTCCTTTAGCACTGTATCTGTCTTATTCCTGTTTCCCCCATGAAACACTACCTTCTTCAGTTGGTTTGTGATACCATTCTCTGATGGCTTTCCTCCTGTCTCTTTTCTAAATATTTTGTGTGTGTGTGTGTGTGTGTGTGTGTGCCATCTGTGTGCGGGTGCTTGCAAAGGTTCCCCTGGAGCTAGAGTCGTAGGCAGCTGTGAGCTACCTGATGTGGGGACTAGGAACCGAACTTGGGTCCTCTGGAAGAACAACAAGCTCTCTCAATCCTTGAGCCATCTCTCCAGCCCCAACATTCCTCCTTACCTTGTTCACAACTTCTCCTTTCCTCCTATGGTTGTTGGTGTCTCCGAGGAGTCTATCGTAGGCCTTCTGCTTTCTGAATACATTCTTGGGAGATAGCACCCAACCTTAACTGGTGCCTTGAATAGCTACTTAATAAAAGGATAGCTGTTACCTTGTATTTACATTCTGTTGCCCTCTTAAGCTTGAGGAAGTTCCCAGAGACTGCTGAGCATCCTTAGAAAGCAATCAGCTGGAGATCTTCAAATCAGTGTTGTCCTAATCTGGTCTTCTGAACTTCTGTGCTGTGGCTGTGTTGGGTTATATTAGTCTCTGTTGTGAGGGGCTATTCGGTCCATTGCATCACGGTTAGCAGTGGCTGTAGTGTCTCGTCTATTAGGTACCATTAGTTGGCAATAACTAAAATTGCTCCTACGTGGCCCCTGGTGAACACAGTTTCCTCCTGCTGCTAACCGCGGCCCTAAACTAAGCTTACCCTCTTATTTTCCCGAATGTTCCCACCACAGTTTACTTACGGGCATTCCAGTGGACTAGAAACTTGTGTCATCTTAGCTCATGTCTCAGTCCCCCCTTCCTCCTCGACATCTAAGCCATCTCCAAGTCCTTGCTGGTTTTGCTAGTCTCGAAATACCTCGGCTCCACCCAGTTCTGCACCGCCAGCACTTGAGTTCAGATGACATTCTCTGTCATCTGGACTACTGCATTAATGTCTGCACTTGTCTCCCTGGCTCCAGCCTTTCTCTCGGTGCCTTCTCCACTCAGAGTCCCAGCAGTCTGTAAAGTGAAAGTAACACAGTGCCAGTCTCCTGCTGAAAGCTCTACAGTGGTTGCCCAGGCATTTTTAACTCATTTCCCCCCCCCCCCAAATTATGCTGTGTTTGTGTCCGTTGTGTGTATGTATGTGTTTGTTTGTGTATGCATGCCCACGCAGGCCATGGCACACACGTGGAGATCACAGGATGGCTTACTAGAGCTCATTCTCTCCTTCCACCATGCGGGTCCCAGGGATCAAGCTCAGGCGGCCAGGCTTGGCAGCAGGCGCCTCTATCCCCCGAGCCCTCCTGCCAGCCCTGCCCAGTGTCTTTGGAATGAAAGTTTCAATTCTTGACCCTTTCCCTTTAGGATCTCCATGACAAGGATCCCAGCCGTATCTTCTGCCCTCTGCCTCCCTGCTTTCTTCTCCCCATTTGTCCTGAACCTGGGTGACACTGCCACGCTATCTCATTCCTGCCTGCCTGCCCTCTCTTTCTAGAATGTTTTCAGTTTGCAGCCCATCCCCGCCACCGCCGCTGCTGTTTATTTGCCAAGATTCACTTCAAGCATCAGTTCGATAGAAAACCATATCCGGCTCCTCACTCTGATTAAGGGCCCCTGTCCTCTGTATGTGGGTATCTCTACTGTGCATCTCTTGTACAGCACCTGGTACACCGTATTTCACTGTCTGTGGGTGCTTCCCACACTAGCCTGTGGAGGTATCGGCTATGCTTTATCGAACTTCGTATAGCACCCAGTGTTGATTCATGTGCAGTGTTTGTGAGTTTGGCATATGTTTGGTGAACTAATACTTACTGTTTTAATCTGTAGTCTCATCTACTTTCCATCTATCTTCTTTAGATTATTTTGAAGCACATTGTAGACATATCACATAAAATGTAAACATTTCGATGTGAGTTCTAGGAGAAGATAATTACTTTTAAAAATTTAATTTTATACCACCACCCCACCTAAATATAGATATTTACCCATAATATAAAATACCTGGTATTTAGGTTTGATATTAATTTATCTAGTGTTTTGATTTTGTTTTGAGACAAAATCTTCTCTGTGTGAAGCCTTGGCTGTCCTAGAACTCACTCTGTAGACCAGGCTGGTCTCGAACTCACAGAGATCCATCTGCCTCTGCCTTTCAAGTGCTGAGATAAAAGATGTGTGCCACCACCCCTGGCTTGTGTTTTGATTTTTCTTATAGTTTTTTTTCTCAAGTCAGGATTTTAACAAGATTTATTCTTGGTGTCCTTGGGGTCTCGGTACAGGCTCCCCATAGATACCAACATCTGTGGAAGCTCCAGTCCCTTATATGGGAAGTGGTGTCTTCCCATATATTTAGATGATCTCTGGATTACTTGTAATTCTTAATACAGTGTAAATAGTAACCAGCAGCTATGTAAACAGTTGTTATACTCTATTGTTTGGGGCCAAAAAAGAGAATGGTTTAGACGTTGAGTCCAGACACTTAGTTCTGAAATGTTTATTACTTTTGTGTATGGGGGTGCATGGGTGTGCCCCATAGCAGGAGTGGGGAGAGAGGATGGCTTGGAGGATTGGCTCTTCTCCGTTCACCCTGTGGGTTCTGGGGATTAAACTCAAGTCATCAGGCTGGTGTGGCAAGCAACTTCACCCTCTGAGACATTTGCCAGCCCATGGCTCCACATTTTTATTTTCACTTTTGATATTTTTGCCTTTTTGTGTCAGGGTCTTACTCTGAAGGCCAGGCTGTCCTGGATCTCCCATGTAGCTCATGCTGCCCTCAGACCTGCACTTAATTTCCTGCCTCCGCTTCTGAGAGCTGGGGTTATAGGTGGGAGCCAATAAGCTTGATTTTTTCAGATTAAAAAAAAACCCTTTTTATTTTAATTTTGTGTGTATATAGTGTATGGACCCATGGGTGTGAGGTGTGTGCACTTATGTCCATGCTTGTAGAGGCCACAGGAGGACATTGCGTGTTCTCCCCATCAGTATGTACCCTATTCTCTTGAGACAGGGTTCTTACTGAAGCTGGACCTTCTGCGTTTTTGGAAAGCCTGGATGCAGGCAAGCACTGAGACCTCCTGGTTTTCCCTGCCATCCCCCATTGCTGGGATTACAGGTATATGCCAGTATGCCCAGCTTTTTCTGTTTGTTTAATATGGGTGCTGGGACCCAAATTCAGGTCTTTATGCTTGTACAAATGCC